GGTTTTAAGGGCATTCCTGGGATCTGTTGACGTGAGTGGGAAGCGCCTCCCTGGGCTCCAGCGGGATTTTCCGGGTCTGAAATGGAGTCCAGATCTCCCGAAATAAATCCCCCCGGCTCTGGAGCCCCAGAGAAGGATGCAGCTCCTTCATCTGCCCGCATCATGTGTGTTAAATTGTGCCGACATCTCCCAGAATTCCAGGGAATAAATGGAAACCAGTGCCCGGGGAGCGCTGGGCTGGCGGTGCCAGCGGGATGAGTGGCAGGAGCATTGTTTGTGCACAGCCTCCCCTCCCGCCAGGACAAGATGGGAAATTTCATTCCCATTTTATCCCCATTACTGGCCTGGAATTGGGGCACGGAGCACACAACAACTCCAACACGCCGGGTGCTTTCCCTATGGAAATTCCCGGACATTCCCATTCCAAGGCTCCATCCCACCTGATCAAAAATCATTTGAGCTTTTGTCAAATGAAAGTAAACCTTCCCAGTTTTTGGGGGGGGTAAAAAAACCCCAAACGAGTCTTAACCCCCAAATCTCTCTCAGCTCAAAATATTTTTGCTCAACCCCACACACCTGCACACACACACAAAAAACCCCTGAAAAATCCCATTTTGCTCCAAAGAGGTTTTTTTTTTTTTTTACTCCTGCAGAAATTAGTGATCACAATTTATAAGGCCTTAAATAATTATTCCCTGGTTCGTTTGGACGGTCTCCTGTGGATTCAGGGAGGCAGAGCAGTGAGGAGAAGTTTTTTTTTTATCCCCCTCATGTTTGATTTTAAAGGCCTTGTGCGAGGAGGAGTTTCCAGGCGGGAATGGGAAGCAGGGGGACTTTTGGGACGAAGGAATCGGCTGGGGCGGACAAGGCAGCTCTTCACAGCTTTAAATCCCATTTTATATCCCACACAGGGAGAAGTAAACAGAGTTTTGCTGTGATTTTTTCGGCGCCTTTATGATGGTTGTAATGTTCTGCGCCGCTCGCCTCGCCCCGGCCCTGCGTTCTCACACCGAGACGAGAAATGAGCCCTGAAAAGAGTTTACCTGCCTCGAAATGGCTCCAGAGCCTCGGGAAATGCTCTGGGATGGCAGGAATGGCAACCTGGGCACGGCCCTGGCCTCGTGCCCTCGCCAGGGGCTCTGCACCAGCGGGAAGAGATGCAGAGGGGACACTGGAAAAAAAAAAAAAAAAAAAGGAATACCCCAGGATCGCCAAATCCGGTGTGTATACATTCAACACTGCCACACTCAGCACTACTCAATTCATACCCAGAGCAAATGTTGGTTAAAATCCCCCTCCACCGTCAGAACCAAAGGAGTTTGAGCAAATCCGGGGCGAATTCAGCTCTTTCCTTCCCCCCTGTGCTGGCCCAGCAGCCCGGCAGGTCCGGAGCCATCCCTCGGGAAAACAACGGAATATTTATCCCGCTTTTCAGGCCTCCCCTCTTTCCGACAAAGAGAGATCCTGCACCTGAACGGTGCTGGATGGATCCGTGCCCTAAGGCCTGCCTTCAATCCCATCGAATGTGCTCGCGGCGTTTTTCCAGGAGGAGCCGATCCCCCGGTGCTCCTGCAGCCTCCCCGCGGTGTTTTCGCAGCCGTGGCCGGGAGGAGGGGGGGATCCATCCCCCTGGAAAAACCCACGGGAACGGCTCCGGCCGCCCCTCGGCCCCAACACGGGCGGGGTTTGTTTGCAGCTGATCCCGCCTGGATTTACACCCGGCCCAGGCTCAGCCTTAAGCGGGACTTTAATCCCAAGGAAAACATGGCCAGGGAGTTGTGTTGCTCTTTCAGAGCTCTGCAGGAGCCCGGGAATATTCCTCAGGGAGACGGAGCCGAGCTGAGCTCCGGGGTCCCGAGGGGGGCTCCTCCATCCTCCGGGGTTCCAGGAGTCCCGGGGATTTGAGGAGGAGTCGAGGATTTGGGAAGGAAGGAGCTGCTCGTGTCCCACGGCACCTCCCGAGTTTCCAGCGGGAGTTTCCAGCAGAGGGGTGCGGGTTTTCCCGGGAATGCCGGCAGGGAGGGGAGGGATCCCCGGCTCCCTCCTTTTCCCTGCGGGATCCCGGCCATCCAAACCCTTTCCAGAGGGCACGCGGCTCCCAGATGTGCCAGGATTTGCAGGGAACAACCTTCGATCCCATCCCCTCCCCCCTTTTCCAGTCCCGTTGGCCGGGATTCTTCCCCAAACACTCGGTGTTTTTCGATATCGACCCCTGGGAGGGAAAGGTGATGATCCCGAGCTGTGGGATGAGCTGCACATCCCCACGCTCCGCTTTCGACATTCCAAAGGCACCGAGACGGATCCCAGGCAGAAAAGGAGGAGAAAATCCCCATGAAGAGAAAAGCGGGACGGACCCAGGCGATTTATTGGGGATTTTGCTGTCCGCAACCTTTCCCACCGGGAATTTTGGATTTAAAGGATCCGGGATCCCGCTCTCGTTTTCACGCGGAGAATCTCCGATAGCAGAACGCAGAGGGGTTTTTTAGGGGGGAAAAAAAAATTAAAACGGAAAAAATCCCTCGGGGTTTGGTGAGGTTTTAAATCCGGGTGGGTTTGAGGAGCCTCTGGCAGGGAGGAAAATTGCTTTTTGTCAAAAATTATTAATTAGTCTGTGGCCTTGACGGACCTGGCAGAGATGCTCAGAGGGATGCTCTGGAGAAGGATTTTATTTTGCTGAACACCCAAACACTCTTCTTCAGCAGCCAGGAAGAATTTTTTGGGGGGAGGGGGGATCCTCCAATTCCCTGTATTTGGGCAAAAGGCGGGAGAGAAAAAAAAAAAAAATCCTGTTGGAATGAATTTTGTGATGTCTCCGACACACCAAGCACAGGCTGAGGCACCCAGCATTTCCTGGGGGGTTTCAGAGCGTCTGATCCCACAGGATTTCCCTGTTTGGTTTGACCCCGATGGAAAAGGAGCTCCATAAACTCCTGTGAGAGCCGCAGCATTCCTGAATGCCTAATTAATAATAATAATAATAATAATAATAATAATAATAATAATAATAATAATAATAATAATAATAATAATAATAATAAAATACTAAAGCATAGGATGGCAGCATTAGACAACAACACAACCGCAGAATATATTATTCTTACTATATAATAATTTAACAGCATTACCTAATACAGTATAATATTAATTAGATTCTTTTGTAGGAAATAATCGGGAATAAATACTGGTGAAACACCCAGGAGCCCTTACCTTTAACGATTCCAATCTCCAGCTGCTGAAGCAGAGGATCCTCTTTGACATTCCTATCCAATATCCTTGATATTTCCATCCAGTATTCTAGATATTTCTATTTTAAATTTTTTTTTTTTTTTTTTTAAAAAAAGCTTCCAGAGCTCCCTGCTCCGCTGGATTTTTATTCAGCAAAATTAATGGAAAATCGCGCTTCTGTCACCCGAGGCTCAGCCCGGCACAAAACTACCCACAAAATTCCAACAGCTTTGGCAAAACCAAAGGGCAAATTCGGGTTTTTTAATTTTTTTTTCTCTCAGGATGGTGTTCAGGCGGGGAAGGAAGGGCTGGGGAGGGGAAAGAGGAGCCGGAGCAGATGGAAACCATCGCGGCCAGGGCAGGTCTGCGGGTCCGGAACCGCTCCTGGACAGGGAGCAAATTAATTGGGATTTTCCTGCCACATCTCACCTGAGCAGCCGCGCCTCTCCTTTTCTTTCTTTCCCTCTCTTTCTTTTCCCTTTCCTTTCAACAATTTCCCGTTTTCCCTTCTTGTTTTTTAGTTCTTTTATTTATCCTAATTTTTATTTTCTTGCCGCTTTTATTTTCCCTTCCTTTTCTTTCCATCTCCCCCGCTTACCTTTCCTTCATCACCCACCTACCTCTCTTACCTTCTTGTTTTTTCTTTTTCCCTCTCTTCGTTTCCTTTTAATTTGGATTTTCCTCCTTCTTTTACCTCTCTTTCCTCTGCGTGATTCCTTTCCCTCAGCTCCCTTTCCATGCCCGCTCAATCCACGCTCACATTCCCGCAGGGCTCGGATCCCGGTGATGCCCCCGGGAGCCCGGCAGGGATCGGGGGACGCGGGGAGCAGGTGGACGATTTTTTTTCTTACCGGGATCTTTTCCTTGGAAAAATTTCATCCCCAGGGAGCGGGGGAGGAAAAGGCTGCTCGGCCGGCAGCAGGGGACCCCCAAAACTCCCCCAAAAACCCCCAGGGATCCGCAGGGTGGCACCTGCCCGGCTCGGCCTCAGCGGGGCTGCGAGCGGGGGGCACCGGGGGGGACCCCCGGCGCTGCTCTCGGCCCGGCTCCCGTTTAATCGATCCAATCCCTTTTCCCAGGGCTTCTCCCGGATTGCTGGATTGGGTGCCAGGCTTCCCCCCGCGCTGAGGGACACGGGGGTGTCGGGCGCTGTCCCCTCCCCATGCCTTTAAACCCCCCTCCCAAAAAAAAAAGAGCGGCTTTTCCCCGAGCCCCCCACGCATCCAGGGAAACACTCACGCTTTTCCCACCGAGCTCTCCGTGAGGGGGGACACAATTCCCGGGGAATCCCAGCCGGTGGGAGTTTTTTGGGGCCGAAACAGCTCGCCCGAGGGGCCGTACCCCCAAAAGCGCTCCCGTCCCGTCGGGGCCGGAGGCGGGGCAGGTGCGTGTCGCTGTCCCGCGTGGGAACCCCCGCAGGGAGGAGGCGATGGCACCCCCTCGGCCGTCCCCGCCGTGCCCTCCCGCAGCCCCCGGGGGTGCACGGGGGGGGTCCCCGGCGGCGGCGGAGCGGCCCCGAGGGGGCGGGCGGAGGGGGGCGGCTCCCGCGGCCCCGCCGGCCGCGGCCATGGAGGAGCGGGCGGGAGCCAATGGGCGGCGTTGGCGGCGCCGTGACGGCCGCGATTGACGCGATTCCCACGTCAAATTGATGCCGAGGAGCGGCGGGGGCTCCCCTGGAGCGGGGCTCGCTCCCGGCGCCGCCAGCAGCCCCCGGCCCCGCCGCCCCCCGCTCTCTATGCGGCGGCCGCGGAGCTGCCCCCTCCCCGCGCCGGGCCATGGGTGAGTGCGACCGGACCCGGGATGGCCCCGGGATGGCTCCGGGATGGCCCCGGGATGGCTCTGGGATAGACCCGGGATGGTCCCGGATCCCGGGATGGCTCCGGGCAGGCTCCGGGCAGGCTCCGGGATGGCCCCGGAATGGCCCCGGGATGGCTCCGGGATGGCTCCGGATCCCGGGATGGCTCTGGGATAGACCCGGGATGGCCCCGGATCCCGGGCAGGCTCCGGGATGGCTCCGGGATGGCTCCGGGCCGGGCTGCTGCCCGAGCGGGGCACCGGGAAGGGGCAGGAGGCGGCCGGGGGTGCCGGGAGGGCTCCGGGCTGCTCCCCGCGCCTCGCTTCGCTTTCGCTCCGCTCTCTCCTTGCGGCTCCTTCTCTCCCGTTCTCCTTCTTCTGCCGTCTCTCTTTTTGTCCCACTCTCCTTTTTTTCATTTTTTCCCTCGTCGTTTCTGACTTTTCTTTTTTTCTCGTTCTTTCCCTGTCTTACCTCCCTCTTCTTTTTTGGCTGTCAGTTTTATCTCGCTTTGTTTCTGTCTGTATTTTTTTCTCTCTCTTTCTCTCTTCCCCTCTCATTCTCGTTTTGCTTTTTCTTTTTCTTTACTCCCCCTTCCTTTTTTCCTTTTCCTTTTACCCCCTTATTTTTGTTTCTTCCCATTTTCCCTTCTTTTTTCCCCTTGTCCTTCCCTTCCTCTCCTTTCCTTCTCTTTTCTGCTCCCCTTTTCCCACTTCCTTTTTTTCTCCCCTTCATTTTCTCCTTTTTCCCTTCCTTTTTCCCCATTCTTTTTTTTACTTCCCTTTTTTCCGCCTTTCATTTTCCTCTATTCCTTTCCTTTACTTCTCTTTTTTTCTCCCTTTTTCCCCTTCCTTTTCTCCTTGCCCTTTCCCCCCCTTTTTTTCTTCCCTTTTCCTCTTTCTTTCCCCCCCTTTCCTTTTCTTCCCTTCATTTGCTTTTCTTCCCTTCATTTGCTTTTCTTCCCTTCATTTGCTTTTCTTCTCGTTTTCTCCCTTTTTCCTCTTTTCTCCTCTTCCTTTTTTTCTTCCCTTTTCCCTTCCTTTTTACCCTTTCCCTTTTCTCCCTTTCCTCTGCTTTTCTCCTCTTCTTTACTCCCTTTTTTCCTTTTCCCCCCTCTTCTTTACCCTTTCCCTTTTCTTCCCTTTCTCTGCTTTTCTCCTCTCCTTTACTCCCTTTTTTCCTTTTCTTTTCCCCCTTCTTCTTTTCTTCCATTTTTTTCTTCCTTTTTACCCTTTCCCTTTTCCTCGCTTCCTTTGCTTTTCTTCTCTTTCTTACTCCCTTTTTTCTCTTTTCCCCTCTTCTTTCCCCTTTCCCTTTTCTTTGCTTCTTCTGCTTTTCTCCTCTTCTTTCCCCCCTCTTTTCCTTTTCTTTTTTTTCCCCTTCTTCTTTTCTTCCATTTTTTTCTTCCTTTTTACCCTTTCCCTTTTCTTCGCTTCCTTTGCTTTTCTCCACTTCTTTCCCCCCTTTTTTCCTTTTCTTTTTCCCCCCCTTCTTCTTTCTCTTGCCTATTCTTCTCCCTTTCCCCACCCCTCCCTCCCCTTTCCTTTTCTTCCCCCGCTCTTTTCCCTCTCCCCCTTTCCCTCCGCAGCTCCATCCCCATTCCCGGGGCGCTCCAGCCGCTCCGTTGTCACCTCTGCCGTGCCGTGCCGTGCCGAGCCGTGCCGTGCCGCCCCCGCAGAGCACACCTACGGCGAGGTGAACCAGCTGGGCGGCGTGTTCGTGAACGGGCGCCCGCTGCCCAACGCCATCCGCCTGCGCATCGTGGAGCTGGCGCAGCTCGGCATCCGGCCCTGCGACATCAGCCGCCAGCTCCGCGTGTCGCACGGCTGCGTCAGCAAGATCCTGGCCCGCTACCACGAGACGGGCTCCATCCTACCGGGGGCCATCGGCGGCAGCAAGCCGCGGGTCACCACGCCCGCCGTGGTCAAGCACATCCGCGACTACAAGCAGGGCGACCCCGGCATCTTCGCCTGGGAGATCCGCGACCGCCTGCTGGCCGACGGCGTGTGCGACAAGTACAACGTGCCCTCGGTCAGCTCCATCAGCCGCATCCTGCGCAACAAGATCGGCCCGCTGAGCTCCGCGGGTCCTCCGCCCGCCGCGCTGCCCTGCGCGCACATTTATCAATACCCGTACCCCGGGCCCGCCGCGCCGCCGCCCGCCAAGGCCGCCCCGCACCCCGGGGGACACCTCGGGGCACCCCCGGTGGCGCTGCCACGCTCCTGGCCCTCGGCGCACTCGGTCACCAACATCCTGGGCATCCGCACCTTCGTGGAGCAGGCGGGTGGGTAGCGCCGATCCGCTTCTCCCCATCCCCTCCCCTTCTATTCTTTTGCCTCTCAAACCCCCTTTGTTTTTTTTAATTTTTTTTTTCTTGGCTCTTTGCGCTGCCTTTTTGTTATTTTGGTGCGCTCGGTTTTGTTTTGTCGCTTTCTTACTTATTTATTTTTTTTTGTTTTTGTTTTTGTTTCGTGCCTTCTGGCTCGTTCGGGGATTTTTTTTCGCTTGTTTCGGCTTTTTATTCGCTTCGTGCCTCTTCGCCCGTTTCGTGCCTTTTTGCGTCTTTCCTTCTTTTTTTATTAGTTTCAGCTTCTTAGCTTATTTCGAGTTTTTGTTGCTGTTTCTGTCGTTTTGGGCTGTTTGTTCCAATTTTTTTTTGTTTGCTTGTTTCTTATATTTTCCCCTTTTTTTCCCCCCCCTTTTTTTCCCCCCTTTTTTTTTTTTTTTCTCCCAAGGGCCTCCCCCCGCTCCACCAGCCCGTCGGGGCTGCGGGGCCAGATGCGGCCTCGGCTCAGCCACATCTTGAACTTTTTATGAAAAATGTGGAAAATATTTTCCTAGGGATGATAGATTGCCGACCGCAAATTCGGAGCCCTGAATTTCGCTCCGCAAAGGGGGATTTAAAAAAAAAAAAAATTAAAAAAATATATGAAAAGGGTAGTGGGGGGGAAAAGGGAAAAATAAGAGAAGAGGAAAAATCAGGGGGGAAAGCAGCTCGGATCCGGCCTCCTGGATTCTCCCGAGGAATTTGGGAATTTTGGGGCTCCGGGAGCACCCGCAGCTCCAAGGCCGAGCCCCGCCGGCTCCAGGGGGGACAAACGGGCCGTGCAGGGGGGTTCGGGTCCTTTTATCCTCCCAAAAGCCCGAGTAAATCAACCGCATGCGTTTCCCCCCGCGCAATCATTTATCCTTAAAATTCCGATGTCACTTCTCCAAATCCCCTTCGTCGGGAGAGAAATTGGAGCCCCTAAATTATCGGGGATTGGGAATTGGGAGAGGGAGGGGGGGAGGCGGCCGGAGGTTTTTTTTTTTGGGGGGGGGGGGACGACGCCGCCGCAGCCTCTCCCCGCGGTGCGATCCCAAATTTCGGCACGCGGATTCCTGCGCCCCCCCCCCCCCAAATCCTGGGGTTTGGGAAAGCGGGAATTCCGCCTGTTTCCCTGTTTCACCCCCAAAAGCTGACGCTTTGCTCCCCAGGGGCTCTGGCTGGCACCGAGGGGGCCGCGTACCCCCCAAAAATGGAGGAGTGGCCCGGCGTGAACAGGAGCGGCTTCCCCGGGCCGGGCCAGGCGGTGAACGGGCTGGACAAGGCTGCCATGGACGGCGACATCAAATACCCGCAGGTGAGGGGACACGAGGGGACACGAGGGGACAGGGATGGCGACATCAAACACCCACAGGTGAGGGGACAAGAGGGGACACGAGGGGACACGAGGGGACAAGGCTGGACAAGGCTGCCATGGACGGCGACATCAAATACCGACAGGTGAGTTTTGGGGACAGGAGGGGACAGGAGGGGACAGAAACACCGTGGATGGCGACATCAAGTACCCGCAGGTGAGGGGAGGGGACACGAGGGGACAGGGATGGCGACATCAAATACCGACAGGTGAGTTTTGGGGACAGGAGGGGACAGAAATACCATGGATGGCGGCATCAAATACCCACAGGTGAGTTTTGAGGGGACACGAGGGGACAGGGGAGGGTGGCCGGAGCGGGGCTGGAATGAGGCAGGGGAGGACAAGTCGGGGACAGCAGGGAGGGACCAGAAGAGAGGCCAGGGAGCCCCGTCCGGCCCCGAGCGGGACCCCCCGAGCCGGGCGGGCTGTTCTGAGCCCCCGTCCGTGTCCCCGTCCCCTTCTGTCGCTGTCGCTGTCGCTGTCGCCAGCCCGGCGCGGGGCTCTCCTCCATGGGCACCTTCCTGCCGGCCTGCGCTTACCCCCCCTCCAGCCAGCCCGGCGTCTACGGCGGCTCCCCCGGCGCCTACATCGCCCCCGGCCCCCCCTGGCAACCCCAGGGCACCCCCCTGGGCCACCACGGCACCCCCCTGGGCCACCACGGCCACGGCGTGACCGTCCCCGGCGGCGACCTGGCCATGGCCTTCAAGCAGCCCGGCAGGGAAGGTGAGCGGGGACAGGAGGGGACAGGAGGGGACAGGAGGGGACAGCAGGGGAGCGACACCAGCACCGGGAGGGCTCGGGATGATCCATCCCATTCCCCATCCCGAAAAATTCCCGGGATCCTCTCTCGCCACTGGAATTTCCCTCCTCGCTCTCCTGGGAAACAGCCGGGGAACGGGGAGGATTCCTGGGAATGCGCTGATCCCGGGAATTTGGGAATATTCATCCCTGGGAATTTGGGAATATTCATCCCCGGGAATTTGGGAATGCTCATCCCCGGGAATTTGGGAATATTCNCCTGGGAAACAGCCGGGGAACGGGGAGGATTCCTGGGAATGCGCTGATCCCGGGAATTTGGGAATATTCATCCCTGGGAATTTGGGAATGCTCATTCCCAGGAATTTGGGAATATTCATCCCATGGAATTTGGGAATATTCATCCCTGGGAATGCTCATCCCGGGAATTTGGGAATGCTCAGCCCTGGGAATTTGGGAATATTCATCCCCGGGAATTTGGGAATATTCATCCCTGGGAATTTGGGAATGCTCATCCCTGGGAATGCTCATCCCCGGGAATTTGGGAATATTCATCCCTGGGAATTTGGGAATGCTCATCCCTGGGAATGCTCATCCCCGGGAATTTGGGAATATTCATCCCCGGGAATTTGGGAATATTCATCCCTGGGAATGCTCATCCCCAGGAATTTGGGAATATTCATCCCTGGGAATTTGGGAATGCTCATCCCTGGGAATGCTCATCCCGGGAATTTGGGAATGCTCATCCCCGGGAATTTGGGAATATTCATCCCTGGGAATGCTCATCCGGGAATTTGGGAATGCTCAGCCCTGGGAATTTGGGAATGCTCATCCCCGGGAATTTAGGAATATTCATCCCCGGGAATTTGGGAATGCTCATCCCTGGGAATGCTCATCCCCGGGAATTTGGGAATATTCATCCCTGGGAATTTGGGAATGCTCATCCCTGGGAATTTGGGAATATTCATCCCCGGGAATTTGGGAATATTCATCCCTGGGAATGCTCATCCCCGGGAATTTGGGAATGCTCATCCCTGGGAATTTGGGAATATTCATCCCCGGGAATTTGGGAATGCTCATCCCCAGGAATTTGGAAATATTCATCCCTGGGAATTTGGGAATGCTCATCCCTGGGAATTTGGGAATATTCATCCCTGGGAATTTGGGAATATTCATCCCTGGGAATTTGGGAATATTCATTCCTGGGAATTTGGGAATGCTGATCCCTGGGAATTTGGGAATATTCATCCCTGGGAATGCTCATCCCCGGGAATTTGGGAATATTCATCCCCGGGAATTTGGGAATATTCATCCCTGGGAATGCTCATCCGGGAATTTGGGAATGCTCATCCCTGGGAATTTGGGAATATTCATCCCCGGGAATTTGGGAATCCTCATCCCTGGGAATGCTCCTACCCGGGAATTTGGGAATATTCATCCCTGGGAATTTGGGAATGCTCATTCCTGGGAATGCTCATCCGGGAATTTGGGAATGCTCATCCCTGGGAATTTGGGAATGCTCATCCCCGGGAATTTGGGAATATTCATCCCTGGGAATTTGGGAATATTCATCCCTGGGAATGCTCATCCCCGGGAATTTGGGAATGCTCAGCCCTGGGAATTTGGGAATGCTCATCCCTGGGAATTTGGGAATATTCATCCCTGGGAATTTGGGAATGCTCATCCCCAGGAATTTGGGAATATTCATCCCTGGGAATTTGGGAATGCTCATCCCCGGGAATTTGGGAATACAAATCTGGGAATGCAGCAGGATCCTTTCCCCGCATCCCCCTTCACCGATTCCTTTCCAGGGAAAAAAAAAAAAAAAAAAAAAAAGCCTTGACAGGGAATCATTAATTCCTTGTAATTACCTATTAATTATTAAGTGACAGCGATGACTTAACGATTTGTTTCTAGTTCACGGTTATCATAATGAGCTGTTGTTTTATTGAATTGCTTCCCGGGAATATTAATTAATTATTTCCCGCCGGGAATCCCACGGGAGCAATTCGAGGCTGTCAAAGGGGGCGTTGCTTTTATCTCCCGTTAATTATTTCGCTTCATTAGTCCAGCTCCATTGCCTCGTTTGAAAAATCCCGATTTTTCCGCCCTGGTTATAAATTCCTCTTGGCTATTTTTGTCATTTTTTCCCGCGTTATTTGACTTTCTAATATTTTAATTAATTTGCAATTAATTCTCTGTTTATTCGTCCTTTTTTTAATGTTGCTTTTTCTGGGGCTTGAATTTTTTGTTTGGTTGTTTTTCTGTTGTGGTTTTTATTTATTTCTTTATTTGTGTGGGGGTTTTTTTGTTTGTTTTTAAATCATTTTACCATTTCTAACCTGCTGCGAGTTGTAACCTCAGCTGTGCCGGGGAGGAGCGACTGAGGGTGAAAAGAAATAATTTAAAGCGATTATTTAAAGATCTAAAGGGGGAAAAAAAAAAGAAAGAGGTAGAAAAGGAAGGAAAAGGAATTTTAAAAATGAGAAGGAAAGAGAAAAATAAGGATATAAAACGGCCCAAGCCACCTTTGCATATTTAACCTATTTTCGAGGTATTTCAAATTATTTGGAGCCTGAATTTTCGGATTTCCCAATTTTTAAGCCGTTTTGTCCCCAGACTTTTTCTAAACCTTTGCAGGTTTTTGATTTACGGGTGGGGTTTCTTCGCGTGTGGTTTTAAAATTTCTTTTTATTTTTCTCTTTAAAGTTTATTTTTAAATTTCCCCATTTTTTCTTTCCGAACTCTTTTCTGGTTCTGCCTCTTACCTGGGACGAGGGAAATGTTTTTTCCCGGAAAACCCTCCCTGCTTATCCCGGTGTCTGGAGGAAGAATTCCCCAGGGCTGAGCTGGGGTGGGATGGAACTCAGCAGGAATTTCATCACTTCTGCAGGGTCCTGTCCCCTTCCCCTCCCAGTTTCGGGAATTTGGGGGGAATTTAGGAATTTTTTGTGAATTTTTTGGGATTTTTTCGGGGAATTTTGGGAAAATTTTAGGCATTTTGGGGAGAATTTTTAGGGATTTTGGGGGGGAATTTTGGGAGAAATTTTAGGCTTTTTTTCGGAATTTTTATGGATTTTTAAGGGAATTTTAAGGGATTTTGGGGGAATTTTTAGGGATGTGTTCCTTGCGCGGCTGGGACTGCTCGGGGCCACCTCGCCTGACCCTGGCAGTGTCACCAACGGTGACACATCCGCTCCTGGGGCGGTTTTTGGGGTGTCCCCGTGCCCGGAGTCGCTCCATCCCCTGCCTGCTCTGTGCTTTTTTTTTCCCCCCCCTCTCTCACCCTTCCAGCAGGGGTGGACAGAAAACCCCCCAGCCCCGTGGGGAAAGCTCCGGAACCCCTGAGCTCCATCCACGGCATCTCCAGCCCGAGCTCCTCGTCCTAGAGCCGCCCAGCCGCTGCCCAGGGACTTTTGGGATCCCGGAATTATCGCCCTCAACCCGGGGCTGAAGCCTGGAGTGGGGACAGGGGACAGCCTGCCACTTGTGCCCCGCCAAATCCCCGGCAGGACATTCCCGGAGGGACATTTGGCCTCCACTGGATCGGAAAGGGATGACGGAAGAGACTCAGCCTCCCTTCTTTATTTTTATTCTATTTTATTTTATTTCCTCCCCTCCTCCCTCCCCTTACTTTCAGTTTTTCCTTCTCCTTCCCCACATTCCCGAGGACTCTTGGGTGCCGTGATTCCCTCCAGGAGCATTCCCGGCTCTGTCCCAGCCCAGGGGAGTAAATAATTCCCGCTTTCCACCAGGAGATCCGTGCTGGAGTCTCTTTCTCCAGCCCCTTCCCAGCGCCTCTGCCCCGGCATGGAAACGCACCAGAAGTGCCCAGGACGTTTTATGGCACATTTTTATAATAAGGAACCTTAATAAAAAGTGACAACCGTGGGCACACTGCGGTGACATCCCTCCCTCCTTCCCTCCCTCTTTCCCTCCCTCCCTTCTCCGGGGCGCTCCGGGATCCCTCGGAATCTCCCCCTGAGCTCCCCCCGCATCCCGGGGCTCCGTGGCCGCTCCCGCCTGCCCCGGGGGGCTGTCCCGGTGTCCCCGTGTCCCCGTGTCCCCGTGTCCCCGTGTCCCCCTCCCCTGCCCGGCTGGCTTTTCGCATTCCCTGGCTCCTCCAGCGGCTGGCGCGGGTCCCTTCATTGTGTGGGAAGGGGCAGGTCCTGCAGCGGGGCAGGGAGGGAAGGTCCTGGCAGGAGAAAACACGCCGGGATTTCTGCGGAGAGGGCGCCTCGGTGGGAGGGAGGGAGGGAAGGAGGGAAGGAAGGAGGGAGGGAGGGAGATGCCAAACACAGCCCAACCCGGGAAATGATTTTCTCTCCAACCTCGGAGTGGCAAAACTCGGTTCTGCCTCAAAATTTAGCTCTGCTAAAGCCGGGCTTTGATTCCCAACGCAGAGCTCGGCAGGGAAAGTTGGGAAATCCAAGGAGGTGAGAGCGCGGTCCCAGCGCAGGATCTGCAGCCCTCCCGAGGCCGAGTGGATTTCAGGGATGTGAGGATGGAGGAGTCACCTGAACCAGAGGAGGAGGGGCCCTGGCCCGTCCCCTGCCGGGTTTATCCATGAAAATCCGCATTCCAGAGCGTGGAAGAGCAGCTTTGGGAATGCTGGGGGACAACAAAAACCCCCGAAAGTGTGGAGTTTGCTGTGTGGGCTCCTCGTGCCCGTATCCCAGGCAGGGATATCCCTGTGGATATGGGATTGGGGCTCTGGGATGAGCAGGGATATCCCTGTAGATGTGGGATTGGGGCTCTGGGATGAGCAGGGATATCCCTGTGGATATGGGATTGGGGCTCTGGGATGAGCAGGGATATCCCTGTGGATATGGGATTGGGGCTCTGGGATGAGCAAGGCTGGAATCAGATCCTTTCCATTCATGTCCTGCCAGGATGGTGCACAAGCACCCGAGTTATTCCCTTCCAAGTGTTCCACGGATCTGCCAAAATCCTGGAATAATGGCTGAGCATTCCCCAACAACCACAGGGAAAAGGCGGCCATTCCTGGGAACTCCCTGGGTGTGATCCAAAACCCTTTTCAAAATGATTTTGTGATTCAAAGTAATTTTCACGGTTTCCAGTGGAGAAGGGGTTTTCTCCTTAAACATCTCCAAAATATTTCCCTGTGCCCAGCGGAATTCCTGGGGCAGGCAGAGCCACAGAAAAACCCGATGCAGAGGCCCTAAAATGGCTGGCACCTGTTAGGGGGGTCCAGGACATCGTGGCTTGGGGTCCCCAGGGAGGAGGGATAAAGGAGGAGCTTTGCTGGGGACCTGCATTCCCATGGGAGCAAGGAGAAAATCCCTGGGGGAATTCAGTGCCTGCCCCACGCACCTCAGCTCATGGAAAAATGCTGGGAGCAGAGACACCCCCTCACCCCCCCAAAAAAAAATCCCCAAAATAAATCAAATAAAATGGGGTTTTCAGGCAGGCTGAGGTGAGGTGCTGCTCTGCCCGACAGAATCCAGGGAAAATTGGACTTGATGGGGGCAGGACTTTTGGAATTGACGGGAACAAAGCGAGGGGGTGGAAACAATCAGCTCTGACACTTGTGCAGCCACGGTCCTGTCAAAATCGATCCCATCCCTCGGAACACGGCAACTCGCACGGAATGGAAAAAAAAAAAACAAACCAAAAAACCGAGGCTGGAACTGTTTCCATCAGCTCTACCTGCTCCATATATCTTTAGCACCCTTTGGAGAGCAGGATGGGGAATGTTACTGGAGACCTGCTGGTGGAGCCCAGATTGATTTCCTTCCTGGCGTGTTTGGAATCCTAAGGATTTAAACCCGTCCCTGTGCTGTAGGAAGGGGCTGGGGGAGAGGAGCTTGCAGATGTTTGGCACCAGCACAGGATCCGCTTTCCCGGGATTCCGGGGCTCCTCGCTCCGGGTTGTGGCAGGAGGAGCTGGAAAAGGCTGGAGGGGATCCCCTTGGAGATCAGGGATGGCCCAGGAAAGATCCAGGCTCATCATCCCAAGCTACCAAAGACTGGGGCCTCACACGGCCAGGCTGGAAAAGAGCCCGCCTAAAATTCCCGAAGTCACATTGGTGCAAATCCTTCGGGTTCCTCGCAGCCAAATCCTCCTCCTTGTGCAGGAACTTGGAAAAATCCGTGCCCAGCTCTCCCGAGAAGCTGCAAATCCTCCCCCCCCCCGCCCTCCTCATTTGCAGGGTTATAAACCTGCCCACAACTCCTGAAGTTGTGCTTGGAAAGGGGAATTTGATTCCCAGCTCCCTCAGGCACTTCATAACCTTCCCTCTTAATAGGGGGTTTTTCATTTTCGGGGAATCCAGCAGGTTTTTACCTCTGGAAACCTTCCCCAGAAGTTTTCTGCGGCTCCCAGCCCGTGACCAGGGAAAATCCCACCTCATTTCCCAGCGAGAGGCTGGAGAAGGGGCTTTTCTTCCCTGGAGCTGCTGGGAGAGCTTTGGAACGGGAAGGTTCCCAGGGAAAGCGTCAAGGATCGCTCTGGGATGTGTGGGATCAGCCATTCCCCGAATGGCTGCAGGAGTTTTGACAGAACTCTCCATTATTTGTAGAAAACTGGGGATGATAAATGGCAGGAAAAGAATTCCCTGAGCCCTAATTGTAGTTTCACTCCACCACCAAACGGCTCTGTGGGTTCGGGGCTCCTCGCAGGAGCTTCCAGTGGATTTTGGAGGAATTGGGAAGGAAGATCCACGACAGGGCTGACAAACCTTTTCTTCCTCGTTGCTACCGCTAGGAATTTAATCATTCCCACGGGGCAAAACTCCCTCCTCCCTGCCACCCCTTCTCCTGCAGCAGGAATACCAAAATCCCTTGGATCCCAAAGTGAGATGGAGCTGGCAAGGAGCGGCGACGCTTTCACTCCCGGAGATAGCCCCGTTCTGGCACGGTGATCCCACACAATGATGTCATGCGGGATCGCCGTGCCAGAGTTTTTCCCTTTCTCCTTCGGATTTGTGGCGATGTCAAAGTTCCTCTCCGGAGCAGGTCTGGTTTCAATATTCCATATTTACGTTTTTCATTTCGGGGCTGGCTGGAGCTGGCGGGAAGGAGCGAGGAAGAGGAGCTGGGCTGGATCCATGGGCACGCTTGGATTCCTAAACCTCGGGAAGGGGCCCTAAAACAGTTCCTGCTCCTTTCTCAGGAGCTTCCAATCCCTCTACACAGCCCCACCTCTATTCCCGTGCCCCTTCCAGCAGGGAACACCTCCCTTTGCCAGGAAGGAGCATCCCAGAGCTCATCCCAGCCTCACGAATCCATGAAAAATCCCCGGGAGGTGAAAGGGCCGAAGTCCCAAAGTCTCCACGCCCCGCGGGATAGCGAGGAGCTCGTTTTGCCAAAGATTTTTCCTGAGCCCGGGAGGAGACGGGAGGCTCGTGGAGATGGATCCACGTGGATTCCTTGGGGTTCCCGTGGGATCGAGGCGGAATAAACCAGGCAGCTTTGGAGAATCCTGGCTGCCCAAACTTGTGCTGCAGGAACACTCCAGAGCCGGCCGGGAATTTGACTTTTGGCTTCCTCGGATTGCCAGAGCTGTATTTTTAGGTCGGGAATGGTTGTCAGCATCCAGGTGACGCAAATGTGACAGGAGCCGAGGTCAGGTTATGGATGAGGCCGCTGGAAAACCAGAGGTTTGGGAAAGGGAGACAAAAAAAAAAAAAAAAAATCCAACAAAGTGCTGGAAAACTGCTGGGAAGGGAGAATAAAATTCCCTCTGGCAGGAACCCGGCTGCTTTTGGAGGCAGCTGGTGAATTCCAAAGCCACAAAACGACTCCAGAATCGGCAGCAAAGGGTCCTGCGTCAGTGGGGTTGGGAAGTGAGGAATTCCCAGTTTGGGTCCTGGGTGAATTCCATCCTTCTGGGATGCTCTGGAGAACTCCAGCAAGGCTGAAAGGGGAAGTGAGAAACCACCGAGGGAGCCCAGGGAAGGATGGTTGGAATTCCCTGCATTTTCACCTGCTGGCTTCATCCCAAGGAGTTTTGCACCTCCAGCAACTTCCCTGCCCCGTGAGCGTTCCCTTCCCTTCATTCCACCTTGGATGAGGCGTGGGCACCCGGCTCCATCCAGCCAGGAAAAAATCCATGCCAGAAAGAGCTGCCAGAGCCAGAGCTGGCAAACCCCATCTCTCTCCAGGCTTAAATTCCCTCCAAATTAAATATCAAAACTCCAAGGTTCTGGAAAAGCTGTCAGGAATCCGATTGTTCCCCGAACACCACACCCCAAGGGTTGATTTTGGGCTTGGAAAGGTTGAGTAAGCACAAAGATTCCCAAACACAACTCCGCTGTTGCAGGGAGCAGGGAAGCAGCTGTGGGGTAGGAGGACCCCGAATGTGGAATTTTAACTCCAAAAAAATTAAAAAAAAAAAACAAACAAAAAAAAAACAACAAAAAAAAAT